GCGGGTTTCATTTACATCGTTAACGGGCATTTTACCGCCAACACAAAACTCACAAAAAAACTCAGCGTACCATTAACCTTAGGATATTGACAGTATATAAAATGCTGAAAAAAAAGCCGTGCCGTAGTAGCTCAGGGGCTAAGTGTTCGTTGTAAATTTCACAGTATGCGAGCGCCCGGGTTTGATACCCGCCGACACCAATAAAATTGTAAATTGCAATTTTAAGTGCTGATATACTACCTTCTCGGGGGTGAAGGAAAACCTCGTGACAAAACCTGCATGTCTAAGAAATAAGAAAAAATATTTCGAAGACATGTGAAGTTCACCATCACGAATTGGATCAGCGCGGCTGACATTTCCTTATCCTAAAACCCTCTCAGAAATGAGGGAAGGCCTGTCCCAGCAGTGAGACGTATACCATTCTCGCAAAGGTACAATAGATTAAAAACAAATAAAATTTCTGAAAAACTTTTCTCAATTCGATACATACTCAAATAACAAAGCAAAATATATTATGCTATAATCTGAGGTTGAAAACATTCCATTTTTAAGTATCTTATACTCGTATGTCTTTTCAAAAGCATTCATTGCTATCCCATAAGCTTACAGCTATAGCCTACAGGACGTGATCATAATGCAAGACATCGTATAGAATATAAAACAAGATTAATTCGCCCATATCGTTTGCCATCACGCAGGCAATCTTAAACGACGTGGCTCGCTAAACATTGATTGGTGTCCTTTCATCTCCACATAGATTAAAATCCGGCGTCGGTATTCAATCTAACGAGTCCGCAATCTATAATGAACTCTTAACCTTTTAACGATATTTTCTAATCGGAATTTTTTGTCTTTTTTGTTTTGTTAAAACACTATTGAAAACATCTTATAATGACACAATAATATTTACTTTCCCACTGACCTATATATATATATATATATATATATATATATATATATATATATATATATATATATATATATATATAGCAGTCCACACTGGACTGGCTGTCCCATACAAATGACAGCAAATTTTGTGTGCTAACTTGAGACGTCACCCGCGAGTGTCCCGAGAATTAATGTTAACGTATATTGCAAACGACTGTTAGTGAGTTTTTAAGCTCATCTGTGCAAGTTCGAGTTTCCAAACATGAGAATATGTGTATTTCTTACATCATTTCACAGGTATGTGTATTTAGTTTTTTGTTTTTAGCCAAAATTGGTGTGAAATGACGTATTAAGCATAAATGACGTAATAGCGTAATCAGAAATTTGTTATTTTTACCTTTATTAATATAAAATACACGCATTTAAAATAATAATAAACATCGCCAAACTGTGCAACAGTTTGTTGGCGATAATGGCGCTCTTTTGTTATACATTAATATGTATTTTTTGTTACATACATACTTATCTTAGGTATATTTATTATATTTTATTATAATACTGTCTTAAAAATATTTTTGATTTGATATTTGTATATTTTGTTTTTGGATTTGTTAGAGATTTAAAGCGACAAATAAAATACAGACAAATAGTTCCATAGACACTCGCATCTGCCCACAGCGCCAAAATGGCGTTAAGAGGAGTATTACAAAAAAAACGCTAAATTACAAGGTTTCCTCGTTGAAATTATATTTCTTCCGTACGTTGCTTGAAATAACAATTACTTGGTAAAAATAGTTCGTTTTCTCTACTACAATAAACTTAAGGCAAATTTTAGATAACTTATTTATTTATTTAATAATAATCATTCTCAATATGCATGTTTAGGCCAAAACTCTGAGAGACATGATTTGGAAGCTCTAATTTGTAGATTCTATTGAATATCGACCATCGAAAAAAATATTTTAAAATCACAAATATCCTACACTTTAATAATTATTAAATACATTTTCGTTATATGCCTTTCACGTAAGAGAAAAAAAATCGACATAATTCAATCATCTACCGAAAAAGCTTCGATACAAACCCTAATATCTCCAAAGGTCTACATCATTTGGACGTAAAATTTATACCAAAATAATTATCAACATTTGCCTAAATTCTACCATGATTTTTACTTTTTAAATCGTTACTATTATTTTTTAATTAACTAAATAAAAGTACCATATATTTCACTGCGCCGGCCCTTTGCGTTCAATAGATCGCAAGCGCTCGTCGAGGTCGGACCTGTATTAATTTATTTCGCGCGCTCCATCCCGTTTCGTTAGTATCGTAGTGCTTGGGCATCGAAGGTCGTGGCTAGCGTTGCCAGGCGTCCGGATAAAGCCGGACACAGTCAGGGTTTTTGGTTGCGTGTCCGGCCAAATTGACGGTGTCCGGCCCGTATGGCTTTTGTTAGACTTTTTTAAGGAGACAATCGTTTTTGGACCAACTAGATATTTTAACGTAACTTAACTTATAAAAAAAAGATACCAATTTACCGTAGTAAACTGGCTAAAGATTTTATGGAAATCTAACCGGTATTATGATAAATAATACAATTAAGAATCAATAGCTACATATAAATCACCGCAGTCTGTTTATTCGTGAACTGTTCTCTTCTCCGGAACTCTTCTCCGGAACTCTTCTCCAGAACTACTAAAATCATTATTTTAGTAATTCCGGGGAATCCACCTAGTATTTATTATTTTGAAAAACCTACAACTTTTTTATACTTTTTATTATTAACGCTGCACTATTTTAACATAGAATATCGATAAAACTACTAGACAGTCGCACATATAAGTTTTAGGTTATAATGAGATTGTCATTTAATAGTTAATTTCTCAGTATTCCCGTTAGATGCGGTAAAACTTATATCACTAGTGTAATCTAGAGATATAAGTAATAAATTAACATGCATTTCATTAAGTTACGCTACAATTTGTGGTGAGCCCATTCTCCATACAAAAAGAAATTGTCTTTTTAACGTACTTACATACATAATATTGCAATTATTTAAATTAATATTTTAATGAATATTGAATGATTAATTGATTTATGACTGATTTATTCAATTTTATTGTTATTTGATTAGAATTTGAGAATATTTTATGGTAAATAATAAAAAGCATTGTTTCACTTTAAAAATAATTGTCATGTTATACTTAGACTAAAAAATTAAGGGTGTCCGGTATTTTTACCAAAATGTCCGGCTAATTTTGTTGGTCCATCCGGCTTTTCGGTCTTAAGACCTGGCAACCCTAGCCATGGCGCTGAATTTTTGTGCCATAGCATCGTCAACTACGGCTGCAATTTTTAATCCCTGGAAATATATTTACTTTAGTACAGTATATTATAGGCCTATGTTCAGCAGTGGACTTGTGAAGGACTGTAATGATGATGATGAATGACAGTATATTACAATTAATACACCTATTTTTTTTATAGGATAGGGTGACAAACGAGCACACAGTCCACCTGATGGTAAGTGGTTGCTGCGGCCCATAGACATCTACATCTATCTTCCATTACAAATCAAAATGCAGATGCGTTGTCACCCGTGAGGACTAAGATGGAATGCCTCATTTCCAGTAAAAAGGGTCTCCGGTTCTCTACACTCACCATACGAAATACAGCAGCATTAAGCTACTATTTCACGCTGGTATTCTGTGAGAGCGTGGTCCTTCCCCGGTCAAAACCTAAAGTTTTAAAATTATCATACCAGATAGTTAACTCATTAGGTATAGTTTTTTTGATTGTAGCTGAGCTTTCTTACCGGTCCGAATGGGGAAAAATAAATACAAGTATCAATATGTCACTTAACGTAAAAAAAGAAATATCCTATCTTTGGAGAAATAAATAATGGAGAACAAAAATTTACTGTATGCTTTCCATATAGACTAGCCCAGATTATGCAGTAAAAGTACTAAAAATCTACAAAGAAGACAAGTTTTGGATTTTGAATATGTTAGCCAAGTTACAAACGTTTTATAAAAAGTGTGTACTGCCTGAAATTATTGATGCGAGATAAGCTCGGCCAATGCCGTTGCGGCCAATATTTTTATAATAAAAAATGGTAATTGACTGTAAGTATCGATTAAAAAACATATAAGTTACAGTTGGTTATTTTAATTATTAAAACAGGTTGCAACCGTACTATCAATTTATATACACAGACGGAAGTATAGACAAACTGGAACCCACACTCCTAATATCAACATTAGGAATAACCAAATGACCTCAAATAACCCCTGTTTTCCCTACAGGATAGCCAACGTGACGGCTGATATTACCCCATTGACAGCGATTATGAATTTCAATATAAGTTTAATTGTTTGTATGGCAAGAATTATAAGTCAAAAATGATTAAAAAAAACTTGACTAAACCGATTTTCACGCAAGTGTTTGCTTTTTCTTTTAAACACTAAATAAAGATTTACGATGAACTATTTGCCTAGCCTCCCAATATTTCCCCTATTTTATAATTATTCTTAAAAGCCGTTATATGTCAACCCAAAATTATTTATAATATATATAATTAATGTCTTCCAAACTTATTACAATAAAGAACTTAACTAAAATAATAATTAAAATTATAATATTTACGATTAAAACTAATTATATACAATATAAAAGAAGAAACTATAAAATAGAAAATCTAAAACTAAAAATTTAAATCGTCAAAAAGACCTGCTCCCCGTGGTATAGTGCCAAGAACGCTGGCTGCGTTTCCTCGCTGAATAGCTATACTTAGCCTTTGAGCGAGGAAAGAACCAGCTCTCTTATCACCAGCAGCGACGACCAGTCGTGGATACAGTTCCTTTAGAAACTTCACTGCACGTGGATCCCACGGACCGATAGTCTCTACAGCAAATGGCACAAATATGTAGTCATTTCTCAAAGACTCATATTTGCGCCATTTACTAAATTCGGCTGCCTCTGATGCCGCCCTGGCTCTAAACCAACCCAAAATCTATTTGTCAAATAATTTTTACTGCAAATGACAGATGTTTATGTTCATTTCGCAAGTTTGTTTTTGAATTTTGGAATAATCCAGAGGCAAAACTAGTAAAATGGTCATTAAATGTATTGTGCGCGGTTGCAAAAGTGAATGGCATCCAGGTTGTAATATTTCATTCGTAAGTACAAAACACCATGCAAATACTGCGCGTCATGTGAAATTGTTTAGTGATATTTCGACTTTAATTGCTCTTATTTCTGGATAGACAAATTGTTATTTTGGCTGAGATGTTAATTATGGTTCGGTATTTCCAATTTCACTTCATTATTTGCTTACTAATTAACGTTTCATGTTTGTATTATAATTACGAATAGGGTGACCATACATTGTGAATGTATTTTCATTTTAATTAGAAACGGAAAAGGTTTTCTCGAATGGTACTCTGCTCGATTTGCATGAAATTTCGAAACGTTGTTTACACGAATGACGATGCACTAAAACATCACAATTAAAATAAATTTATATTTTTTATAACTTAATTTTTGCAGGTTTCCTTCCAATCTAACAGAACGTAATAAATGGTTAAATAATGTGGAACCAAAAAGACCCTTTTTTGAAAAAGCAAAAATTTGTAACACTCGGTTATAATTTTTAAAAATATTTAAAAGCTATTTTTGTACAATATTTTTCTAATTTTTTAATTGTATTAAATTTTTTTAAATGAAAATTTACACATATTTACTCAAATATATGGTCTCAGGAAATTATTTTTTTTTTGATAATTTTGTTACACCTCTATAATTGCTATCGTTAGAAATAAATGTTCAGATATAATGTTATCTACAATTTTGGTTTTAATTTATTTAAATGTAGTTCTAATTTACTTCCTATGATTTTTATATTTTTGTTTACCAAATTTATATTGTTAATTTCAGACAGAAGTAAACAAAGAAAATCAACCATCAGATTTATCTGATATGGTTCAGGGTGATGAAGATTCGAATATTTTAATAAAAGTATGTATATTTTTAAAGTGACGATGAGAAGACACCTTCGCAGGTTTAATTTAATACTTACCTAATTATATTTGCAGTCAAATGAAAAATATGCAACTAGCGCAGCTTCTAAACGAACCTGGGAAACTATGTTAGACGTGCCATCCTGCAGTCATGTAAGTGCTCTTTTAATTTACACAATTAGCCATTAACGTCTTTTTAATTTTGTATAATAAATATGTATGTTAGTCAATAAGGTATTTATCTATAGGCCTCTATTTACATTAATTAACATCATGTAATGTAAATATTGCCTGAAATACATTTTTATTATTATTATTAAATTATCTTAATGTGTAATAAACATATTGTTATTTAGTGTTGGAAAATCATATATTCGTGTCTTTTCAGGAATCTTGGCCGCAGCGTGATGCTACAAATAAAATATAAATATTCCTCTTTGTAAAAAACCATGGTCTTTACTTCGATACATTTTGGAAACGGAAAGGGAAAATATGAACATCGATGATATAATAACATCCGAAATAGTAATGACATTTTAATTTCATCAGCATACTTTGTTGGTCTATTAAATTGTTAACTATAAAGTCTAATTTTATCGCGTTTATTTTTAAAATAAACGCGATAAAATCCGTAAAAGTAGTTTTAATCATGTATAGTGTTCGCGTAAATATAAGAAATCATTATACAAAGTCTAAATTTTTTCAGTTATTAATTTTTTTTAAGTTGAATTGTGAGTTTAGTTCTGACTATAGCATTTTCACAACTAACTAGTCCATTATAAAAATAATCGTTTTAACAGCTTTTTACTCTTTTAGGTCACGGACAAAAGCACTTCTCCCATACAAATCTACTGCGCTGATAAAAGTGTGCAAGCAAGGATTAAATCATCACGAGAAGAAGAGCTAATGATAAGAGTGTGCAAGCAAGGATTAAATCATCACGAGAAGAAGAGCTTATGATAAAAGTGTGCAAGCAAGGATTAAATCATCACGAGAAGAAGAGCTTATGATAAAAGTGTGCAAGCAAGGATTAAATCATCACGAGAAGAAGAGCTTATGATAAAAGTGTGCAAGCAAGGATTAAATCATCACGAGAAGTAGAGCTTATGATAAAAGTGTGCAAGCAAGGATTAAATCATCACGAGAAGAAGAGCTTATGATAAGAAACAAATCATTAGTTCAAAAAGTATTTCGGCTCAACAAAACTGTTAATAATTTGAAATCTTTAATAAAAATTGTAAAATCATATACAGAGAACAGTGAGATAGAAAATATTATTTCAGGAAATTTTGCCAATATATGTAAAGAATTAAAAAAAAACCACAAGGTGTGAGGTATAGCGATGAAGTGAAATCCTTCGCTTTAACATTACATTTTTATTCGTAAAAGCGTACGAGTTTATAAAACAATATGCATCTTTGCCACACGTCGAGACCTTAAGACGTTCATTGGCCTCTTTTAATTGCAATGTGGGGCTTTTGTCCGAAGTTCTAGAATAGAAGCGTAATACGAAAAGTTTTAAAAAATGTTGCCTTAATATTTGATGGGATGGCATGGCATTAAAACAAGATTTATGCTATGATCAAAAACTTGATAAAGTCTTCGGCTACGTTGATCTCGGTAGAATTGTCGTAAGCGATCCGGAAGAAATAGCTACTGAAGCCTTAGTCTTTCAAATCATGTCCTACACTACGTACTTCAAGTGCCCGATAGCTTATTTTTTTATTAAAAATAGTTTGCATGGTGAACTTTTAGCAGAATTATTAAATACTACTGTGTTGTTGCTTAACGAAATTGGAATCACAGTCCGCTCAATGACATGCGATGGCGCTCCATCGACTATACGAGCGTACCAATTTTTAGGCTGTTGTCTAGAACAAGAAAATTTTCAGCCATATTTTCTACACCCAAATGGTAGCGACAAAATCTATTGTTCTTTGGATGCGCACTTTGAAACTGACACGTAATGTTCTAGCAGAACATGAAATATTATCATCAAGTGGGACCACATCATACGCCTTTATTCGTAGTTTACATACGGTACAAAGAGAAGAAGGCTTAAAATTTGGTAACAAATTATCATCTACCCACGTAGAATACGAAAATAAAAAAATGAATGTCTAACTTGCGGCCCAAGTTTTGAGTTCATTTGTGGCTGAGTCCATCGAGTTCTTAAGACTTTTTTGGGAAGCCACGGTTAAGTTTTTAAAAATGATAGATAGAATATTTGATTTTATGAATTCCAAATCGTCTTTTGGACGTGGTTTCAAAAGTCCTATGAAAATTGAAAACAAAAAATATTGGGAACTGATTTTGCAACAGACAAAAGAATATTTAAAATCATTGAGTATCAATGGAAAAAGTATTTTACACCACGGGCGCAAAACATTTGCTCTAGGTTTTTTAATGAACATTGAAAATTTTCCATTACTTTTTGCCGATTTATTAAACGTCATTCCTCCCGTTAAATATCTTTTAACATTTAAATGTTCGCAGGATAATTTAGAAACATATTTTTCTTGTATTAGAGCCCGGGGTCGAACAAATGATAACCCCAGCCCTTTTGAATTCCGACATAGATTAAGAAAATTGTTATATCGAAACTCTGTACAACCCTCAATTAATGGAAATTGCATTGATCATACATACGACGCAACGCATGTATTTGAATTCGGCACTAAACAATCATCCCTAGTAGAACCGATCTCAAATACTGATAATACAGATACTGATGATGAAATCGAAAACCACTTGCAGGCTTTAGAATCACAAAACACCCATACGGATTATCAAAAAAATATTCTTTATTATATTACCGGAATTATAAATACCGGAATTATATTAAAAAAAATTATCAAACGGCTGAAATGTAATGAATGTAAAAATTTGCTAATTGCTGCAGATCATTCACAAACCGATCATTTATACGTTTTATATGTAAATAAATATCAATCCTTTACAATATTTGTAAATCGAGGTAAATTGTATTTTCCATCCGCAGAGGTGTACAAAATTGTCCTTTTTGCGGATAAAATAAAAGGGCATCAAATATGAATAGTCTGGGTTAACCTTATATTAAAAATGTATTCATCAAAATCATTATTCAACACTTCACACCACAGTTGCGACAAATGTTTTATCATCCTATGGATGACAGTATAAATTGCTCTGAATTTCATGAATCCAGAATTTTAAAATTAATTTCAAACTCTTTTTTGACCATGCGTCTCAGAACGCATCTAAAAAATTGTATGGACCAAAAGTTGAGTGTAGTTCGTACTAAGCGCCAAAAATTTCACAAAACTATTTTATTCAATCATGTATAAAAAATTTGTATAAAATATTGCTATTGTAAAAATAAATGTAAATAAAAACGATTGTTATTTTATTTTTATTATTTCCTTATGTTATTTTATAAGGTCGTCACTCCATCTAGTGAGGGGGTTGCCCTACACTTCGCCTACCGGTACCTACGAGGCTGCCACTCGAGAACCTTTCTTCCCCATCGAATTAATTAACGATGTTTTATAAAATATAATTAATTAAATCATATTATATTACCGGCGGACGAAGTGTAAGGCGTCGCCCCACTAGATGAAGTGACGACCTGGTAAGACATGCAGGAAGTCGATGGATGCAGGTGGCTCAAGACCGTGCTTTGTGGCATTCCTTGGGGGAGGCGTATGAGTGCAGTGGACTTATGAAAGGCTGTAATGATGATGATGATGATGATTTTGTAAGGGATGTAAAGACAGCCTCCCGAAAACTTTAACCATAAACTCATCATGACCATCATCCTGAACAAGCTACTGAAGGAATATAAAACTTATTAAAAATGATGTCCATTTATAAATTAAAATTTTATAAATGAATATAATTTTAATAAATTTATATCTATATAAATTTATTGTATTTAGTTACTTAAGTCACCTACCACTAATTTCTCACCACGCCATGGGTTGACTGGCAAAGAATGCTAACTGGCATTAAGTCCGGACTTTGTAACCTTTTTTATTGGTTTGAACAATAAATTTTTTAAATAAAAATAATGAACATAAACTTTTTCATAATATCCCAAATTCTTGTATTTTGTGTTCACCCTAATTAGAAAGAGACTGAGGGGTAATGAAAAATTTCAAGGTCGTTTTCTTGTATTTTTATGTCAGTTTGTACGAAGTACATGTATTTCCATGTATACACCACTATGCTTCCGTTAGTAGATATAATCGATTATTAACTTGTTTTGATTATATTCCCTACAAAAAAATTTAAGAAAAAGGTAAGGTTGGGTTTTTTGGTTTTTCTACAAAAAAGGAGGGGGGGGGGGGGGATAAAATAAAATATGTGGGGGGGGGAATACATAAATTTTTTAAAAAAGGAGATAAGAAAAATGTTTTTTTATTAAATAGGAAAGAAAATAAATAGAAAACTTTCCGGCCTTCTTTCCGTGGTTTTTTTTTTTTTTTTTTTTTTTTTTTCTTTTTTATTTTCGATAAAACAAAAAAAAAAAAAAAAAAAAAAAAAGAAAGGTTGGTTTAGTTTTTTCGGGTGTTTAAATGTGCAGATCAATTAACTCTTATCTAATTGATATCCGGTGAGGGCCTCCACCGTCATTAGCGCCCCATTGTTCTTATCTCTTTATCTATTGTTCATTTAGTACCGTCATTGTCTATTTTTTCTCGGCGTATGCGTTGGCTTATCAGTGCTATTGTAGTATACTTCTTTGTTCCTATCTACAACGCTAATTTGAATCATCAATAAAACACATTACCTAATTTTGTTACAATTTTTATTTACAAAATACAAAATCTTATTACTTATTGTCCATAAAATAGGAGCGAAACATCTCATCTACTAAAATATCATTGTACAATGTGTTCCCTGTAAATATACTCGTGAAACTATGCATTGAACATCCCTGAAACTTATATAGCAAATACATTAAGCAATATTCGCCACAAACTGAAGTCCACTCATTCTGAATACTATCAACATTCCAGTTCCATCTTTTACAATTCCTTTTTAAAAACTCTAGATGATATCGTACAGGTGACCGTCCATATGAATCAAAATATTGACCGACGTCATCCGCATCGATATATAAAGCTTAATGATTTCTTAAATTTACGCGAACACTACACATTGAATAAAACTAAATTTTCGGATTATATCGCGTTTATTTAACTGATTTTGTTTTAGCTGCAGCATGTCAAGCAAGTGTTGCAAGACAACTAGCTTCGGATCCCGCGCCTACGTCACAGTGACCGAGTGAAGCCGGCCACAGTCGAGCGTGTGCCTGCTGTACTACCATATGTCAGAGGAGTCACAGACAAGGTTGGCTACATCTTGAAGCGAGCTTCCATTAAAACATACTACAAGCCGCCGAAGAAGATTAGTCAATTTTTACCATCCGTCAAGATGCAGGAGTGTACAAGTTAGATTGCGAATGTGGTCTCTCTTACATAGCTCAAACAAAAAGATTCATAAAAACCCGCGTGAAAGAACATATAGCTGACGTGAAGCACCGACGCTCTGGGAAGTCTGCAGTCTGTGAACATGTTCAAGACCGTCCCCACCATTACATCAGATTTGATAAACCACAAATCCTCGCAAAAGAACACTGATTCCTACCAAGGATGATACGCGAGGCTATTGAAATTAAAAAACATCCTAATTTCAATAGAGAAGATGGTTGGGTGCTGCCATCTGCTTGAGATCCTATAATTAACAAAATTAAACCCAAACCAAAGCATACCACTGCAAGGCTTCAAGATTTTGTACAGGGGCGTCAAACATTTCAGTCCCCCCGTGACCATGGTTGCTGTAAAGCACCCGAAACGTCGGGAATTAAAAATAAGTAAAATCAGTTAAATAAACGCGATATAATCCGAAAATTTAGTTTTATTCAATATATAAAGCTACCCAATGTGACCCTGGTTTATCATCTGTATCCAAATTGC